ACACACACACACACACACAAACATGCACTTTCAATTACCTCACACAGTCAGTTCACCTCGACACTCATCACTGAAATGTTTTTTGAGCCGACACATATTGTACTTCACCCTGCAATTTCTGTTTCTTACATCCTTAAGTAATAGTCCATATTTCACTGATTATATGTTTTTCGAGAATATTGCACAATTTTCACACAGATTACCAGCGTCGGCTCGCTCTGTTTGTGGTATTTGGGCATACGTGTAGTTTTAACTCAGGATCTGCGTCTCTGGGAGCCCAGCTGCTGTTGTTTACTGAGCTGCACTGGCATATTTTATGTGAATGCTTATAGCCCGGCACCAATAAGGCTTTATGGGGGTGAGTCATATCCACATAACAAACAAGCCCAGCATGGGAAAATATCATGGTGATGTTAAAGCTGGAGGCTTATACACTGAAAGTATGTGTTGGCCAAGTTCACACTTGAGGCCTATAACATTTGGAGATTTAGGACAACTGGTGAATGGTAATAGAAGCAGGGGCGGACTCAGGGGCAGGACCAGGGGGTCACAGGCCCCAGATGACATCTGACTGGCCCATGAAGTGGCCCTGTCCTGTCAGTCGTCTTTTTAAGTCACTTTAACTGCTTTCAAACATGCACTAAACTCCGGAAATGTATACGTTACATCCTGCCTCTGCACCACCCCTCACCTGAACACTCGAGAGAGTTCTGTGTTGTGAACGCACCTGAGCGGAGAATCTCCTGCTGCGTTGTTCATATCTGAAAGCAGAAAAACTCAGAAAACTCCGAACATCCTCTAAATTTCATGTCTGAAAACAGCTTGACTAACAATAATGATAATATGACAATTAAGTGAAGAATGAATTTAAAATCATTTTTTGAAGTACACAATGTACTTGAATAAGGAACCATTTTCTAATTATATTCAATGATGTGCATCTTTGCTCAAAGCTATAGAGCTAACAATAGACAAGGACTTACTTAAATGAGCACTTTACTGAATCAGCTGTTGTGCATGGATGTTGGACATAGAGTATAAGTGTCCCCTCGGTGTAAATTGTGGCCCCTTTGGCCCCTGATTTAAAGCCACAGTGAGTTTTACAGATTGTTAATCGTCTAAAAAAACGTGAGTGCTTGAAGAAGCAGCCACAATAAGTGTTGGATGATTTCTTCATTTAAAACCTGGGAGGTCCAGGAATCCAGACTTTCATGACAAACATAGAGAAACAATGAGATGAATGTTTGATGCATAGCTGGTGTGGAGAGTTTAGCCTCACACAGACGGTTTCATCAGAGCTGAACTGAGCTGGAGACGGTGCCGTTACAGGATTGCTCAATGGTTGTGTCAGCAGGCAGGAGGCTGGACTGGTCGGGAGGAGTGTTTGAGCTCAGAGCTCAACATCACCGGAGCTCACTCACTCACTCACTCTCTGCCTCTGAGTGTGAGGCGGTCTCCCCCTCTCCCTCCCTCTCTCTCTCTCTCTCAGTCTGGGCTCTGGGGGGATCAGGATTTTCTCACCTCAACTACACACACACCTCAGAGCCGCGGGCAGACACTCTCCTAGAGGACGCGGGTTTGGATTATTACGCAGAACTTTGATTTGTGTTTCAACTCTCGCACGGAGAAGCATGGAGCGCACAGTGTGCAGTTTGATTTAACCATCTGAGGACGCCTCCTGAACCTGCCTCTCTCTTTCCGAGCCACCATGGTGAATCGGTCCATCCGGATGAACTTGCAGTGGGGCAGCCCGGCACCTTGCATCCGCGCCGTGCGGGTCGCTCACAAGCGGCTGGACTCAGACGACCAGCCACCGGCGAAATGCGCCAGGCTGAGCGCCGAGGCGGGGGACAGCAACACGCAGGGGCTCCTCGGCACCTCGCCCGGATCCCCGGTCAGCCCCGTCTCCCACACTCCCTCGGCCACCCACCAGGGACCCTCCAGGATAGGACCGTTTCTGCTTCTACCTCTGGCGGACCGGGAGAGCATGCACAGCGCCATGAACACCGACACTGGCGACGAGCTGCTGTGCAAGGTATGCGCAATCCCCGTCATTGTGCAATTTCTCTGAATGAATGGTGTTTCAAGACAGCGCGTTGCTCAACAGCTCTGTCTGACATGTCATTGGTATCTATTCGACTTTTTCCACCACATGTCACTCTCACGCGAAATGTGTCACACTTTGCGTAATGACAAGTGTTTCTTCATGGGTTGAAATCCCGAACTATTTAAGGCGCAGTCATTATTTTCAATATGTCTCATATGTGGCCTCTTATAAATACATTAAAGACCAAGCAGCCCCATCTGGTCTGAGCTAAAACAGTCTGCCTATAGTCCGCCCATCCTTGGCACTATCTGGATTCACACTGTCAACTCCTCTCATTTGCATACACGTCACTGCAATACCACACCGTGACAGGAAAAATGCAAATAGGAGAGGCAAAGAAAAACGATAAGGATCGTTGGGAACCTCACTGTTCCAGATCCGTGTGTTTACTTTGCTCAATAGACCTGCAGGCTCTGGACTGTTGTTGATTAATAAAGTTAATGGCTTCACACTTTGGTGATTCATTTATCATGCTCTTGCAAAAGCACTGCACTGAGATGGAATGAAAGCACATGAGCCTTTTTTTTTTTAATTGCCACATTTACAAGGTTGTTTCCTCTGATGATCATTAAGAACACATTGACCCATTGCCTCCTCCTCACTTTCCCCTCCCGCCTCTCCTCTATCTTCCTAATTTCCATCTTGCATCCCTACCCTTCCTCTCCTCCCATCGCTCTCCCAGGTCTTTGATATGTGGGTGTACCAGGAAAAGATCAGAGCCTACGGGATACTACCCGCCCACAAGAATGTGGCCGGCATCAGGGACATCATCCTTGGCGAATGCAAGGCCTACGTGTTCCTCGACAAAGACTTTGGGGACATGCACACATTGGTGAAGAGCTGTCGCAGGCTGGACGAGGAGCACACCTGCAGGCTCTTTCGGCAGGTGGCTCTGGCGGTGGCGCACTGTCACCAGGCTGGGATCGTGCTGGGGGACCTCAAGCTCCGCAAGTTTGTCTTCACCGACGAGAAAAGGTGAGACGTGGGGGACGCTCAATGTCAGATGTCACCCAGGAACCGGAAAAGTTTTACACCACTTGCCTTCCACGTCACATTTCTCGAGACCAATTTTCATCCAACCTTAATATCATCACTTAACTTTATTTGGATGCTCTCAGGCTTAAATATATGCAGAGTAGTGGGACATGCACAGAGCAAACATGGCAGCTGATACACACAGGCCATGTGTGCAGATATCAACGTGGGTGCAGATAGAGTAGGAGGTTCTGTACTTGTGGAGGCAGACTGCATAGCTTCCCAGATTTTCGCCCTCTCTGTCTGTCTCCCTTTCTCACTCTGGATGTGTCTCTTTGTATGTGTGTTGTGCGTTTGTTTTGCGTGTGTGCATGTGTGAATGTCGTGGGTGGTAGTTTGGCAGAGCTGCTAGACGAGCTGGTGAGACAATCATCCCCCTTCTGTGGTCATGTATCTTGGAATATATGTATTGCTCATAATTTATTAATAAATAACGTAATCACTGTGCTGCAGAATAAGTGACGCTTCCACCAAGGATTCATTCACATACAATTTCATCCAGGAAGGCGTGGATCAAAGAAATATGCTTTGAATTCAAACACGCACGCCTTGTCTGCATCTCTGAGCACTACATTCTGCTCAGGAAGACACACCAAACCCCTGCTTACAAAACTATTTGTCGCCTCTTTGCCCTTGCGTCACTCTTTTTCCTGTAAGCAACCCCCCCCCCTTCTCCGGCTTTCCAATGGCCCTTTTTCATGGAGATTGTTCAACAGTAACATTCTCCAGCCACGACCTCCGGCTTTTAAGGGTCACGTTGGATGAATGAGTGCAGATAGCCAGTGAGAGAAGTTGGAGTTGGTTGTGTCCCTCCAATAG